GCCCTATTGTTTTCCTTAGGATTATTTATTATTAGGGCCCAAGCCTTGAAAAGGCGAAGGCCCTATTGTTTTCCTTAGGATTATTATTATTATTATTATTATTATTATTATTTTATCGACTATTCGGGCACTTTTGGGGCTCTTAACGTGCACGAAAACTCTTGAAACTTTGCACACTGGTCAGAACCCGCGGCCATCAGGGCCGGGCTGAAGCTGGTACCCGGGCGTGGCAGGGGGGCTCGACAGCGCCCCCTGGAACGGGGTCCGAAAACTTGGTCCATAAATCAAACACGCTTCCATGTAATAATATGAAACTCGGTACACATATAGATCTCATCGGTTCATATATCCTTTGTACTTTTACTTTTTACCCCAGCCCAACAGGAAGTCGGCTATTATGGTTTGTTTGGAAGCGTATGCCCCTGGAATTCGATATACTCCTCCTAGAGAATTCAACCAATCGCAAGGAAACTCGGTCAGCATGATGTCAAGACATTGAGGATGAAAAATTGCCAGGGGATTTTTCATATCTCGAACGGTTTGGCCGTGGCGAGGAAACAAATTTATGGCGAATAATGGAAACAGGAAGTGTGTTATAACTTCTGCATACATTAACTGATCTTGATGAAACTTCAACAGTATGTTCGCTGTAAGAGGCCGATCACATGGATGTGACTATTGTGAGTCAAAGTTATAGCGCCACCAACTGGCAGCAGGAAGTGTGTCACTTTCTAAATGCTTTTGACAAAAGTGGGGGGGTTAGTTTTATCTACAGTTACAAAACTCAGCGTGTATATTCTTCTCCTCAAGCCAAACAACTTTCTTATTTAAAGTAATTAGCTCCGACCCTCAGAAAGTCAGATATTGTGGTTTGAATAGGGTCATTTTCTCTCTCTCTCTCTCTGAGCCAATATGGCAAGCCGCTTTAACATTTAATCATTTTAACCTACTAGTCTCTATTTTCATGCTACTAGTACTTATTTTTAGATACTAGTATCTATTCCATTAAGTACTGGTACTTATTCATTAGCGACTAGTGCTTATTCTTTAGATACTAGTGCTTATTCTTTAGATATTCTTTTGAATACGTATTAGTAGCTAATGAATAAGTACTGGTATCTATTTAATAGGTACTAGTATCTAATGACTTAGTACTAGTATTTATTGAATAAATACTAGTATCTATTAATAGGTACTAGTATCTAAAAGGTCATTTTCTCTTTCTCTCTCTCTGAGCCAATATGGCAAGCCGTTTTAACATTTAATCATTTTAACCTACTAGTCTCTATTTTCATGCTACTAGTACTTATTTTTTAGATACTAGTATCTATTCCATTAAGTACTAGTACTTATTTATTAGCGACTAGTGCTTATTCTGTTTAGAATATTCAAAGTGCTTATTCAATTTTTTTGCTTATTTATATTTTCAGAGCAGAAAATCCGATTTTTCTGCTTATTCAATATTGCATCTAAAAATGTAAGTGACTTGACGTGTGTGTGTGTGTGAGAGAGAGATGTGTCTGTTACAGTGACAAGAGTTTAACCCTTTAAGGCCTTGTCTTTTTGGATATATATTTTTTTTATTAAAAAAAATGTGCATACAACCCATATATTTTAAATGTATTGTTTGCTTTAAATTAAATTAAGATTGTATGTTTGGTAATTGAACCTAAATAAATTTTAAATTAATGTGCTATATTTCAGATCAATATATTTGTTTTCCTTCATTTTAATCAACACTAACTTTATTCTCATCTGAATTATAAAGAATTTATTTCTGTATAAAATAAAAAATCCCGAATAATCCAGACCAACCAGAGCGCACTATTTCTACAACATCATCAGTGCTGAAGCGAAACTACCAGAGCCGTTCGGCAGATAGCAAGCAGATATTTTGTGTCACGTCGTGCACAATAACCCTAAAGGCACCAGGGTGGCGGTGCCACCGGCTTTATATATATATATATATATAAATATATATATATATATATATATATATAAATATAGCTGCGAGCAGCGATGAAGGGCCCAAGCCGGCGGCACCGCCACCCTGGTGCCTTTAGGTAACTAAAGGCACCGGGGTTGCGGTGCCACCGGCTTGGGCCCGTAATCGCTGCTCGCAGCTATATTTCTTCTTATTATTTTTCTGCTACCTTTTGGACACTTTTGGAGGCCTTAACATGCTCAAAAACTCCTGAAACTTTGCACACATGTCAGAACCCGCGGCCATCAGGGCCGGGCTGAAGATGGTACCCGGTCGTGGCAGGGGGGCTCGACAGCGCCCCCTGGAACGGGGTCCGAAAACATGGTCCATAAATCAAACACGCTTGCATGTAATAATATGAAACTCGGTACACATGTAGATCTCCTCGTTTCATATATACTTCACACTCTTACTTTTTACCCCAGCCCAACAGGAAGTCGGCTATTTAGGGTTGTTGGTAAAACACACGCAATGGAATGTGAAATACTCCTCCTAGAGAATTCAAACAAACGGCACGAAACTCGGTCAGCATGAAGTCAAGACATTGAGGATGAAAGTTTGCGAGGGGATTTTTGATATCTCGAACGGTTTGGCCGTGGCGAGGAAACAAAATTATGGCGAGAAACGTGAAACAGGAAGTGTGTCATAACTACTGCATACATTAACTGATCTTGATGAAACTTCAACAGTGTGTTCGTTGTAAGAGGCCGATCACATGGATGTGACTATTGTGAGTCAAAATTATAGCGCCACCAACTGGCAGCAGGAAGTGTGTCACTTCCTAAATGCTTTGAAATCACCCTCTTATTTTTACCCGATTTGCTTCAAACTTTATGTGTATAATGTAAACACACGCCAGATGTAGACCTGTGAAAGGATTATTGATATCTTAGATACTGTTGCCGTGGCAACACATCAAACTTTAATATTCTTGTTTGATGCTTTTGAGACTCTTAACATACTTGAAATTGCATGAAACCCGACAGACACATCACATTTATTAGACAGTAGACATGTGCAGAGTTTCAGAAACGGGCGTGGTGAGGGGCTCAGTAGCGCCACCTTTTGTCAAAAGTGGGGGGATTGATTTTATCTACAGTAATAAAAATCGGTATGTGTATTGTTCTCCTCCAGCCAGACAACTTTCTAATTTACACTCAATAGCTCCAACCAACAGGAAGTCAGATATTTTGGTTTGAAAATTGTCATTTTATGTCTCTCTCTCTCTGAGCCTACGTCTATGTGTGTGTGTGTGTGTCTGTGAGTGTGGGGAGGGGGAGGGGGGCTAGATTAACCATTTGACTGCTGTGTGGTTTGGCCTGCATTAAAAAAGAAAAAAAAATGTCTTACGCCTTGTATTTTTTAAATAAGTTGTATTAATAAGTAAAGGCATATAACCAGTTGAATTGTAGTGCATTGAAAATAGTTTTATATAATTAGTTTATTAATTAAATTAACTTGGTCAGAAAATTTGGTCCATAAATCAAACACACTTGCATGTAATATTATGAAACTCTGTACACATATAGATCTCATCGGGCCAAACAACTTTAAGCCAGCCCAACAGGAAGTGGGCTATTTTGGTCTTAATGTGGATGTTTTGCAAAACCAGGCTCTACATTTTTACCCACTCCTCTTAAGTGGTTTATTTTATTCCCACCAAACTTTTTCAACATGACGAAAATACATTAAAGAAGCATAAATGTGAATATCTATTGAATATCTCTAATTGTTTTGCTATGGCGAGGGATTAAAGTCATGTAAAAAAAAATAAACACTAAAAGCCTCATATCTTCTAAAAATTTAATTATACACCATTTATTTCTAGATAAAATTATACAAATATCAGAACTAAACCCATTTTATTCTTGTTTTCAATTTAAGAATAATGTACAAGTTTAAAAACAGCCAGGATGCACTATTCAGTTAAAAAATAAATATATCAAATAATACATAGGGCTATACTGCCCTCTTGTGTTCAAAATCAGGTAGGCCTGTTGTATTTAAATATAGGTAGCTGCTATGTGACTCCGAGAATTTTTTCTCACCGGTTATTTGACGTGTAACACCGGGGGCTTTTATATCGCTAACTTAAAAGTGAAAGTAAAGTAAGGACATTTATAGTGGTGGCGCTCACAGTGCGCTCGAATGAATTTCTATGGAAGTAGAAATGAAAAAACGTTCGCTCTGTTTTGCTCGCTCGTCGCCATGGACGCGCACCGTAATGAATGCCACTGCAGCCGCATACTTTTTAGTGTCACTTTAAAATTAGTGCAATATCGGGGGCCAATTGCTTGAATTGTGAGTTCAATAGTCTATTATTTTTCACGGAAAACACAACAACAAAAGAGTACAATGATAGATTCGCTTAAATAGGCGCTTTTACATAAAATAGCCTATTCCGTCATCATCTTTTCAGTCAGCTCTTCACTCTCGTGATTAATGAAATTTGACTCCTGTTGCTGATATTTGCTGCAACTTTCGTTCTGCTCACAATTTAGTAAGCAAACACGCTTCAAATGTGTTTTTATTTTATTTTTGTGTGTATATATGTATGTATATATATATATATAGCTTATGTTTCAAATATGAGTTAATTAACAATCGTTTGAAAGAATGATACTTTTAAACATATCACTAAGCCGTCATTAGGTGTCGCCAGGCGACCGTCTTAATGAGCGAGTCATTGATTCATTTGTTCGAACGATTCGTTCGAACGGCTGAGTCATTCATGAATGAGACAGATTATGGATTGGTCATTGAATCTTTGAGTCAACCGATTCGTTCAAAATGCTGAATCATTCAGTAATGAGAAAACACGTTGCTGTGAGATGCTCGATTGTTCTGCTGTGATCTTTGTTTAACTAGTTTCACTGCTGAAACAGAAAAAAGTCAATATTGCATATAAAATGTAAGTGATTTGACTTGTGTGTGTGTCTGTGTGTGTGTGTGTGTGTGTGTGTGTGTGTGTGTGTGTGTGTGTGTGTGTGTGTGTGTGTGTGTGTGTGTGTGTGTGTGTGTGTGTGTGTGTGTGTGTGTGTGTGTGTGTACTTGTATTTCTTACTTTATGGGGCCCAGTGACCAGGAGCACACCAACGGTATGGGGTCCAACAACCTTGTGGGGCCCGAAATGGTGGGCCCCACACCGATTTCAATGTAAACTGCCTCAGAAGCCTCTGCTGATATGCCTCATGCTTTTTTTTCACTTTCCCCACAAGGTGATAAAAACTGGTTATGAGTGTGTATGTGTGTATGCTCTCTATCGCCCCTGTAGCTGGGAACGTGGTATTGCAGCAGATACACACTACCGGAAGTGTGTGTGGCTTTAGCCAATGAGAAAGGCCCACGGAGAGGGAGGGAGGAGCCGTGTAGTTTTATTGGATGCGCCCACGCTACACGCACATTGTTACTGGGTTTTAATCTTCAATTCCTCGTGTTTTGACTCTGTTTCAACTGAAGAAACACTTCATGTAGGCTAAGCAACAGGATTCTGTAATCCTATAGTATTTAACTATACATCTGATATAGTTTAATGTGTATTTCTAGTCGTGTGAACAGAATGATGCTTAATGAAGTAAGGTTTTAAACAGATGGCTAACATTAGCTGCTAAAAGTTCACGGAGACGGCATTTTAAACCGGAAGTTCCACGCGCTTCGACTCTGAACACACGGAAAACACTCTTCATGTGAGAAACCGGTAGGTGAATTTATTTGACTTTTTACATGATATTCGTTTCAATTCTTACTCAATTTCATAGCGCACCTAAATGATAGTTAATGATGTAGGATTTTATTCAGATAGATAGCTGATAATGTTATGAGCTGGTGATGCTATTTATAGATCGATAGCTGATCATGGCGGCTGCGTAAGAAGCATTTTATTGCATTAACGTTACATGATAATTTGACTCCGTTGTCTTTATAGTTTTGCAAAAATCCATTAATGTATTGGTTTGCCAACTATTTCACAGACTTTTTTTAGCTCATGTTTTAATTTATCAGACATGATTGCAGATCACGTGCAGCTGACAGACTATCTGTTTATTGATCTATTTTACAGTATTTACAAAATGGCGGAATAGATCTAACTATCATTTCTGTGTTGTTGTCTGACCTGTGCAAGGTAGGCCTACATTTAGATCTTAAACCACTGAATATTAACGTTACATTACTTGAAATTGTTAGATTTTTTTTTTAAAGCTAATTTCCCCATGCTAATTTTATTTATTTTTATTGTGTATGTGTAACTATTTTCAGAGCCATAATGTTGAAAAGAAAGACAAGGATACGGCCTGTTGATGATGCCAGGACACACATTCTGTCATTGAGGGACAAGCCTGGGTTTATGGAACGATTTATCGATAGTAACAAAGGTATGGGACAGCATATTACACATTCATTTCTTAGTACTGATCGTTTGCATACGCTTACATGATAATCCATGTCTTTGTAGTTGGAAAATTATAAATTAGCATTGGTTTTGTAAAAGTGTCCACATTGTGTGTTAATAATAGAGCCAGGCCGATATTAGGCATTTTCCTAACTATTGGTATCGGTATTTATAATGGCCGATAAATTAATATTTTAAATGCGGGATGCGGTTATTCATGTCAGGGTGGCGCTGCCAATAAAACCTAAAAGCTGTCACAAAGAACTGGCAAAAGTAATGATTATGAATACATCAAATATAGCAAGGAGACATTTTAATTGTTTATTAATAAACAAGTGTTTTCAGTCAGTGTCGCTGCAAAGATGAACTTACGACGCTGACTCGCGATCTTCAGTGAACACGCCAGAGAGAAATGCACATTTCATACGGATTACATTTAGCAGAGATCAGTCTGTCTTTCTTTTTGAATTTTTCTGTTTAAAAGTAGACATTTCAATATAGATATATTTCTCAGGGGCCGTATTCACAAAGAATTTTAAGGCTAAAAGTAGCTCCTAACTGGCGAATTTAGGAGCAACTCTTAAAAATAATGTCACTCCTAACTTAAGGACTCCTAATTTTTTTCACTAAGAGTAATTCACGAAGCATTTTAGCCCTATAAGTAGCACCTAAGTCTGGGACAGCTTAAAAGAAGTCGAGAGGACTCCTAACTCACTAAGACCTATTCACAAAGGATTGTAGCGCATACCACCGCCTCTCGCAGTCGTCCGGGCTCCGCGACACAAGCGGGAATGCTGCATTGATCTGCAAACAAATCCTCTCCCATTCTCACGCTTAGTTTTGCTTGATATCCCAGTGCCGAATTTCACTTTGATTATGTTTTTTTTTTTTTTTTTTTTAAGCACCAACTCGGCCAGCAGCAGTAACTGATCCTGCGTCCAGTTGGGCTTTCTTTTTTACGTTTTGGCGACTTCATAATCCACTGTCATTCAACTATTACATTACTTCAATAAGAGCAACATTTCCTTGCTTTAAGTAGTCTATTTAGGCTAATAGGATGTCAATTAACCAAGCAAGTGTTAATGCAAGTGTTGTTTTTCATTATTAGGCAAGTGGCGGTTTTCATTGGGGTATTAGACTACCTTAATTTAATTTAATTCACGACTTTTCTCTCTCTCTCTGCCTTTTTAGAATCACACTTAACTGGAGCCTGCACAAACATGTCATTATATATGCATTTCGATGACATTACTATTATTAATTTGGTGTAGGACACAGACATATTTAGATGTCGTAATTCCATGATTTGTTGCGTCTGTGTTATGCTCCGCATGATGGCCCTGTCATCTAACAACCAATCACCGTGATCACTGCGAGGAAGCTTGTGCATGAGAACTGACGTCATCCATAGCAACGAAGACTCACTCTTAGTTTAGGAGTTGTCATTTTCCTTACTAAGAGTAGGTCTGAAAGGTGCTGTGATTCTGTGATTGTTTTTTCCTTTAAGAGAAAACTCCTAGCTTAAATATTTTAGTGCGATTTAGGAGTACTCCTAGTGGTAAGATAAAATTCTTTGTGAATACGGCCCCTGGTCTATATGCTGAGTTTCTGTTCATTTATGAGACGAGCTCCAGTTCACCCGCCGGCGCCTCCATGTTGATTATCTATTGTTCGCTATATTTACTTCTTATTTATTAAAGGAGAACTCCGGTGCAAAATGAACCTTTGGTCTAATAAAACATTGGTACCTAGTCAACCGTTCTCTGAGATTTGTCTTCATGATAATCGGATGTAAAGAGTTTTATCTCTAAAAACTGTTTAGCGTATAACGCTTGTAATGGGGGCATATAATACACTTCGTGTATACAGACCATACAGACAGGAGCCATCTTTGGAAAACAGTCTCGACTAATCAAACCACGAACGACGTGCTAAGTGAGCTGAACTGTATGAAGTTCAGTGAACTTCTGAACTGTATGAATGGCGTTCGTGGTTTGATTAGTCGAGACTGTTTTCCAAAGATGGCTCCTGTCTGTATACACGAAGTGGACTGTCTTTATCTTTATCTTTATCGGTCTGTACACTTACACAGTTCTCAATGCTTCGTTTTGCATGTAGGGACCCTCATTATGTTCCTGTGTTCGTGTGGGGCTATTTTGAGCCTTGTTAGTGGTATAAACTAGCGATTTCTTTTTACTTATTATATGCCCCCATTACTAGCGTTATACGCTAAACAGTTTTTAGAGATTACTAGCGTTATAAGCTAAACAGTTTTTAGAGATAAAACTCTTTACATTCGATTATCATGAAAACAAATCTCAGATAACGGTTGACTAGGTACCAATGTTTTATTAGACCACTGTACTGTACATATGAAATTAAAAACGTTTTCATTATGATATTATTAATTTTACTTTAGTAAAAAGATCTGAGTTATTCCTCCACTGGTAGAGATTAGAGGAATTAAGACTAAAAATAGAAGATAATAAGGTTTTGTCAGTGACACTTTTGATATTTATTGGTACAAGTTATGTTTTATATAATGTGACTAAATTAAAATACAAAGTCGTTAGTGAAGATTATGCAACAGTATTTAGAATAATATAACATGCAATGCAAACTAGTTTGGTTACAGCTCAAATGTATCATTCTCATTCTATCATTCACCCTGCCTCCATTACATATCTTTGTCACACAAGTGTTTGATCACCTCATTTGAGTAGGGTTGGGTACCGAAACTCGGTGCCAATAGGGAACCGGTTCCGACGTAAACGGTAGTAACCGGACCGAATAAGAACGACAATTTCGGTGCCTGACTTAATTAGGCACATGCGCGCGTGCGCACACACACACACGCACAGTCTCTTCTGTCTCGCATGCGCGCTGCCGCGCTCTTGCTCGCAAGGTTTGTTTGGCTGCATTTCACGTGTAAAGTTACGCGTCAGAACGCCCTCTGGGTGTGCCGATAGTCTGAATCCCATATAGAATCAAGCCAATACATTGGCTAATGGCGCGGGCGCCGCCTCGACGCACTTACGTCTTCATATTATGTTGGCGCGCGCGCCATCTGCTCCTCAGATTTCTCTGCCGAAAAAGGAAGCTGGTCGGCAGCGCGAGGAGCTTGGCAGCGTCTCGTTCCCTATTGAGAGAACATAGGTTACACCAGTAACCAGAGATGTTCTCTTTCATAGGTTCACTTAACGCTGCGTAGCTAAGAAGCAGTGGATTTGTAGGCTGCTGTATCACGTGCCGTTTGAACTGACGCGCTACAGCGATCTGTCACATTTCTAAGAGCCAAAACGTTATTTATTGTGTGAATCTCGTAAAAATATTGACAGAATCTGACAGTTGTGGATTTGTTCCATATCAAAAGTAACCTTCTCTGTCTTGTCTGTCGGTGTCCTCTTTGTCCGCGATTTTTCTCTGCGTGAGAAAATGGATGTGTGGCGTGAGATCGTGAGTCTCACGGTCAATGCGTGAGAGTTGGCAGCTCTGCCTGCAAGTAATCTCTATTAATCTCCAGTATTATTACATTGTTTGATACAATATTGTTTTATTTGATATTATGTAAATGTGTAAAATGTAGCCTAATGTAAAAAAAAATATTTTATATTGGTTTTATTATTACCGTATGTTACTTGTATTTATATTGTTTAAAGATTTAAGTTAATATTGTGTCCAGTTTGGCCCTGTAAATAAAAGGGTATTATTTTTTGATAAAGTGTGTGCGGTTTCGTTTTCTTAAGTACCGTTTCAAGAACCGTTTAAGCACTGGAACCGTTTAAAAAATACCGAGTAGGTACTGGTATCGGATAAAACCCAACCGATACCCAACCCTACATTTGAGTGGTCATTGCAAAAAAAAATTTTTTATACTGTGTATTCTATATACAGTACCCATCAAAAGTTTGTACACACCAATAGGAAAGTGTCCAAACTTTTGACTGGTACTGTACTATAATACACATATACATAATATTGCTACTGTATTGTAATATACACATAAATAATATCGGCCGATATCGGTATCTGTCTTTTTTTATCGGTATCGGCCCCTAAAAATCCATATCGGTCGGTCTCTAGTTAATAACCTGAATCACAGACCCCATCCACACTACTGCGTTTTAGTTTAGAAAGGGAGAATTAAAACGAATACGATCTCAGTCCAAACCAGCGTTTTAGCTGCATATTAGAATTGATCTCGGGCCACATTAAAACGACTGAAAACGTGGATCACGTGACCATTCACCAACACTGGGCATGCGCGTGGCGGTGTAAACCTAGAGACTTTCAAACATAGACTGTAAAAAAAATGCTTTCAAACATCAAAATGTAATTTATTATGTATTTGTGTAAATAAATGCTATGCTATTTAAAAAGCTAAATTGCAATGAACCATGACGGGTAGCCCTCTGTGCGCACACACTCGAAATTAGTATTGGTACCGTTCAGATATTTCAGTATCGATATTTTTGACAACACTAGTTATACCACATCTGTATGTGAAGGGTTAAGACAACACATTTTTCTTCCAGTTAAATGTATTTTTAATTGTTTGTCCTCATAGGAAGAGGAGTGTTTACTACCCAGCCTGTGGAAGCCGGAGCTTTTGTTTTGGAGTACAGGGGTGAACTCATTTCAGCAGAAGAATGCCGGGCAAGAGACTACACTGAGTTACAGAGCACATTTCTGTTTGAATTTGAGTGGCAGAAGCGTCACTGGTGGTGAGCATGGAAACACGCATGTTTTGTAGAGATGTTGAAAATTCTAATGAAGACATGTAACACACATTATTGAGTAGCTGATGAATGAACAACAGCAGGACCAATCTTTTAATCGCACATGGCTGGTGAACCGCAGCAGTTAATTCCAATGATAAGTCTTGAAGTCCCCCTGCTGTCAATCATTTTATGGGTGGTGAAATTTGGTATTGTAGTTCAACAACTAAAGGGTGGGTTTCTTATTTATTTTAGTATTGATGCATCCAAAGAAGACCGCTCCCTTGGAAGATTGATTAATGACAATCACAAATCTCCAAACTGCACCATGAAAAAAATCGTAGTAAACGACAGGCCACATTTGTGTCTATTTGCTGTGAAGAAAATTGAAATAGGAAGTGAAATCGAATACAACTATGGTGATTCACAATGGCCATGGCGTAAAAAGGTGAGTTGGTTATATTAGCTATACTGATTTTAATTATTTTTTTTTAAGTGCTGAATAGCACAGCTACATCTGTTTTCTACAATATGTATTTCATTATAAATCGTATATTAACCTGATTATCTATGCATAGCTATGTGATCTCATATGCATGATCTGTTTCTTAGAACTTTTTGTATGATTTCCAGGGGCCAAAGCAGCAGACTTCTGTTCTAGAGACCAAAACATCCCTAACAGATCACTCTTCCCATGATGACTCCAACAAAGATGCTGTCGTCACACAGGTAAAGGAGTAACGTCGACTCTGTCATCACAATCTATTCTAGACTTGCCCTCATGCTGCATGTCAAGCGCTCACACACACACATTTCTAGTCTAGGCCTTATGGGGCCCACACACACATTTCTAGTCTAGGCTTTATGGGGCCCTCCCCTCAAACGAATGAATTCACAGTTAAGCTCAAACACACACACATTTCTAGCCTAGGCCTTATGGGGCCCACACACACACACACATTTCTAGTCTAGGCTTTATGGGGCCCTCACGTATGGATCTCACTCTTAGGGATTTTACATCATTGGTACAACACCTGTCAATATTTAAAGTAGTGTAATTGCAGGTGTAATTCAACACTTCTCAAGCTGCTGCATGTTCAGAATGAGTATTTTGGATGTAATGCATTGCAACATCTTATTTGTTGCTGTTACCTCTAGAAAAGATGAGTGTATGCTCTTATATTTCAGCTGTGCTAGATGAGAAACTGTTTTCACATGAGCTAACTTTTGTTAACTTTGGTTTCTGTTGTTTTTTGTCTGATTTCCAGGAGCCAAAGCAGCAGACTTCTGTTCTAGAGACCAAAACATCCCTAACAGATCACTCTTCCCATGATGACTCCAACAAAGATGCTGTCGTCACACAGGTAAAGGAGTAACGTCGACTCTGTCATCACAATCTATTCTAGACTTGCCCTCATGCTGCATGTCAAGCGCTCACACACACACATTTCTACTCTAGGCCTTATGGGGCCCACACACACATTTCTAGTCTAGGCTTTATGGGGCCCTCCCCTCAAACGAATGAATTCACAGTTAAGCTCAAACACACACACATTTCTAGCCTAGGCCTTATGGGGCCCACACACACACACATTTCTAGTCTAGGCTTTATGGGGCCCTCACGTATGGATCTCACTCTTAGGGATTTTACATCATTGGTACAACACCTGTCAATATTTAAAGTAGTGTAATTGCAGGTGTAATTCAACACTTCTCAAGCTGCTGCATATTCAGAATGAGTATTTTGGATGTAATGCATTGCAACATCTTATTTGTTGCTGTGACACTTGCTGTTACCTCTAGAAAAGATGAGTGTATGCTCTTATATTTCAGCTGTGCTAGATGAGAAACTGTTTTCACATGAGCTAACTTTTGTTAACTTTGGTTTCTGTTGTTTTTTGTCTGATTTCCAGGAGCCAAAGCAGCAGACTTCTGTTCTAGAGACCAAAACATCCCTAACAGATCACTCTTCCCATGATGACTCCAACAAAGATGCTGTCGTCACACAGGTAAAGGGAGTAACGTCGACTCTGTCATCACAATCTATTCTAGTCTCGCCCTCGTTGCGCATGTCAAGCGCTCACACACACACATTTCTAGTCTAGGCCTTATGGGGCCCACACACACATTTCTAGTCTTGGCTTTATGGGGCCCTCCCCTCAAACGAATGAATTCACAGTTAAGCTCAAACACACACACATTTCTAGCCTAGGCCTTATGGGGCCCACACACACACACATTTCTAGTCTAGGCTTTATGGGGCCCTCACGTATGGATCTCACTCTTAGGGATTTTACATCATTGGTACAACACCTGTCAATATTTAAAGTAGTGTAATTGCAGGTGTAATTCAACACTTCTCAAGCTGCTGCATGTTCAGAATGAGTATTTTGGATGTAATGCATTGCAACATCTTATTTGTTGCTGTTACCTCTAGAAAAGATGAGTGTATGCTCTTATATTTCAGCTGTGCTAGATGAGAAACTGTTTTCACATGAGCTAACTTTTGTTAACTTTGGTTTCTGTTGTTTTTTTGTCTGATTTCCAGGAGCCAAAGCAGCAGACTTCTGTTCTAGAGACCAAAACATCCCTAACAGATCACTCTTCCCATGATGACTCCAACAAAGATGCTGTCGTCACACAGGTAAAGGAGTAACGTCGACTCTGTCATCACAATCTATTCTAGACTTGCCCTCATGCTGCATGTCAAGCGCTCACACACACACATTTCTAGTCTAGGCCTTATGGGGCCCACACACACATTTCTAGTCTTGGCTTTATGGGGCCCTCCCCTCAAACGAATGAATTCACAGTTAAGCTCAAACACACACACATTTCTAGCCTAGGCCTTATGGGGCCCACACACACACACATTTCTAGTCTAGGCTTTATGGGGCCCTCACGTATGGATCTCACTCTTAGGGATTTTACATCATTGGTACAACACCTGTCAATATTTAAAGTAGTGTAATTGCAGGTGTAATTCAACACTTCTCAAGCTGCTGCATGTTCAGAATGAGTATTTTGGATGTAATGCATTGCAACATCTTATTTGTTGCTGTTACCTCTAGAAAAGATGAGTGTATGCTCTTATATTTCAGCTGTGCTAGATGAGAAACTGTTTTCACATGAGCTAACTTTTGTTAACTTTGGTTTCTGTTGTTTTTTTGTCTGATTTCCAGGAGCCAAAGCAGCAGACTTCTGTTCTAGAGACCAAAACATCCCTAACAGATCACTCTTCCCATGATGACTCCAACAAAGATGCTGTCGTCACACAGGTAAAGGAGTAACGTCGACTCTGTCATCACAATCTATTCTAGACTTGCCCTCATGCTGCATGTCAAGCGCTCACACACACACATTTCTAGTCTAGGCCTTATGGGGCCCACACACACATTTCTAGTCTAGGCTTTATGGGGCCCTCCCCTCAAACGAATGAATTCACAGTTAAGCTCAAACACACACACATTTCTAGCCTAGGCCTTATGGGGCCCACACACACACACACATTTCTAGTCTAGGCTTTATGGGGCCCTCACGTATGGATCTCACTCTTAGGGATTTTACATCATTGGTACAACACCTGTCAATATTTAAAGTAGTGTAATTGCAGGTGTAATTCAACACTTCTCAAGCTGCTGCATGTTCAGAATGAGTATTTTGGATGTAATGCATTGCAACATCTTATTTGTTGCTGTTACCTCTAGAAAAGATGAGTGTATGCTCTTATATTTCAGCTGTGCTAGATGAGAAACTGTTTTCACATGAGCTAACTTTTGTTAACTTTGGTTTCTGTTGTTTTTTGTCTGATTTCCAGGAGCCAAAGCAGCAGACTTCTGTTCTAGAGACCAAAACATCCCTAACAGATCACTCTTCCCATGATGACTCCAACAAAGATGCTGTCGTCACACAGGTAAAGGAGTAACGTCGACTCTGTCATCACAATCTATTCTAGTCTCGCCCTCGTTGCGCATGTCAAGCGCTCACACACACACATTTCTAGTCTAGGCCTTATGGGGCCCACACACACATTTCTAGTCTTGGCTTTATGGGGCCCTCCCCTCAAACGAATGAATTCACAGTTAAGCTCAAACACACACACATTTCTAGCCTAGGCCTTATGGGGCCCACACACACACACATTTCTAGTCTAGGCTTTATGGGGCCCTCACGTATGGATCTCACTCTTAGGGATTTTACATCATTGGTACAACACCTGTCAATATTTAAAGTAGTGTAATTGCAGGTGTAATTCAACACTTCTCAAGCTGCTGCATGTTCAGAATGAGTATTTTGGATGTAATGCATTGCAACATCTTATTTGTTGCTGTTACCTCTAGAAAAGATGAGTGTATGTTTTTTTGTCTGATTTCCAGGAGCCAAAGCAGCAGACTTCTGTTCTAGAGACCAAAACATCCCTAACAGATCACTCTTCCCATGATGACTCCAACAAAGATGCTGTCGTCACACAGGTAAAGGAGTAACGTCGACTCTGTCATCACAATCTATTCTAGTCTCGCCCTCGTTGCGCATGTCAAGTGCTCACACACACACATTTCTAGTCTAGGCTTTATGGGGCCCACACACACATTTCTAGCCTAGGCTTTATGGGGCCCACACACACATTTCTAGTCTAGGCTTTATGGGGCCCTCCCCTCAAACGAATGAATTCAGTTAAGCTCAAACACACACATTTCTAGTCTAGGCCTTATGGGGCCCACACACACACACATTTCTAGTCTTGGCTTTATGGGGCCCTCACACACACACATTTCTAGTCTTGGCTTTATGGGGGGCTCCCCTCAAATGCTCGCTCCAATGTCAACCTAGATACACCTAGATGTACCATACCTAGATATTAGGGGTGGAACGGTTCATGTATTCGTATCGAACCGAAACGGTACGGGCGTCACGGTTCGGTGCACGAATTTACACGGAGAATACACGGTATAAAAATAAATAAAACTCGCGTGCAAATTAATTAATGTAATGTGGAACTACTGTTAGATACGCGGGTTCTTTAGGGACATATAATCTGTACCATCGGCTTAGCTCTGAATGCGCGTTCACTTCAAACGTTGGCTACGCGCGTCCTATTCGCTTTGGACTAGCGTCGAACTAGACGCGAATTTGAAGCTCTATTCGCGTTTGGTGTGACCGTGACCGCATAATGAACAGGCTGCGATGTCAAGATTGCAATGCTGGAGTGTGTGTGTGTGCGAGAGAGAGAGAGGCCTACAACCTAACTATAACCTACAACTGTCACCCAACCAAAATCACATACACACTGTTTTAAAAGCAAAACATATTTATCCAACTCCATTTCAAAACAGTCTGTCTTTTGGACATTCATCATATTGCATTGGTTTCCATTTCTTCTCCTCGGAGCACTAATCTTACACATTCTACATTGATTAAAAAAGAAAATCGAATGTGTTTTTAATGGTAGTATTATTTTATACAGAAATCAATTATTTATAATTCAGATGAGAATAATGTTACATTGCCAATTAATAATGTTAATTAAAATTAAGGAAAACAAATATATTGATCTGAAATATAGCAAAATAATTTTAAATGAATAGTACAATTACCAAACATATCGCAAGGTCTTTTTGTCTTTTTATTAATTTAATTAATAAACTAATTATATAAAACTATTGTCAGTGCACTACAAATAAACTGGTTCTATGCCTTTATTAATAAAACTTATTTAAAAAATACAATGCCTTCTGCATTTTTGTTTTGCTTTTTCCCTCCATTGTACCGAAATCGTACCGAACCGTGATGTCTGAACCGAGGTATGAACCGAACCGTGACTTCTGTGTACCGTTCCACCCCTACTAGATATGTTTTCTATTATTAGTAGCGTGTCCACATGTTTGTGCTAATATTAACTCTTAATGTGTATTTATTTTGTTTAATTATATTTAGGTATTTACCATCAAAGGGTTTTCCCTAGTGAACTATCCCGAAAGTGATGAGACGGATGAGTATATTAAAGACAACCCTCCAACTCCACACTGTGATGTTGTTCGAAAGAAGACGAGGAATGGAAACATTCAGGTATGCTTCAGATACTGTACTTTAAAATGCTGCTGTTTCTATAAATGGTTCAAACGTACTTCCCCGTGACTAATTTTAATAGAATGTAAGCCAAAATGTATTACATCTTGAAATTGAAACTCCTTTTTTGCAGGTGGTTGGAGTAGCTGATTTTTCTGATCCTCTGATTGACTCAAATGAGAGTATAATAGATGAAACTGATGAGGATTCTAGTCTGCAGTCAGACAATGAAGTTGTTCCAAAAAATATTTTGGTATGTCTCTGACACTCTGGGCACATTTCTACCAAAATATTTCCCCTGTATTAGATTTCCATAGAATGTGAACAAAAATGCATAATCATACATGACATAATTCCCTTTTTGCAGATGGATAGAGTACCAGATTTTTCTGTTCCTCTTAATGAGTCAAGTGATGACAGCATGGATGAGCCTTCCACTTCTATGTCTGAAATGGCTTCACAAAGGCCGAGGAGAAACTGTCACCGCCCTGTAAGCCTAATTTTTTCATACATTATATCACTTAATGGTTAGTGCTAACTAACGCAGTGTGGGCGGCGTCAGATGTTTAACGACATACCGCTGATCATGTACTTCAAAACAATTTTACCCCCAAGCGAAATACAAGAACTTCGCCGTGAGTATATCGGGGCCTTTACTCTCCTCACGTAATAAGGGAAAACTTTGTTCATATTGGAACTCGATCTAACAGCTTTGTGTAACGATAAAGGTAAACATTAATAAAATACATTTTTTTAAAATATTTTTATAGCCTGTGATGCGACTAGAGAGGAGTCAAATGCACATCTCCAGAAACTTGAGCCTTAAATAGTTTATAGTCAAACTATAGTACTAGTAACTTTAGTTATTTCACTCATTTACCTGATGCTAGGGATGCTCCGATCCGATATTCGTATCGGGTATCGGGTCCGATACTGCCATTTTTGCCGGATGGGGTATCGGTCAGACGAGGCCGATCCAAATCCGATATTGTGCGTATAGCCTACTATTCTGTGTTATTGTTAAGCCCCACAAAAGGCACAAAAACATTATAAAGCACCATAAAGTTTTCGTGTACTATATTACAAGTGTTCTTAAGCCATTATAGTATAATGTGAGATAGAAATGAACATTTAAGTCATTAAATTCAAAATCACGTAAACTTTTCCCTCCGCTGCGGCTGTCATTCATTCTCCATTCAGCATTCAAACAGCGCGTCGCCTTCGGTTACGAGTCAGTCAACATGATGAAACCCTCTCCAAGATGATTCAATGTTACTCTTATTATACTTGATCTGTAGATAAAGCTCTATGGTTTCGCATAAAACAACTTTATCTTGCTAGACTTTATTGCTGTAACTTAATCCTGTTACTTTCTACCGGCCGGGTGTCTGTTAGATCACAACACTGGAGTCAGCTGCACTATAATTGTTCTTCACACGCACAGTAACTAAAATTTAAAACTGTTAAAAGAAAAGGTTTAATAAACTATTGCATAGATAGATACTGTATAATACACTATGCGATATGTCTTTCGTTTGTGCTTTGAACTTTTCAATGCGGACTCGACGCGCGATTCCGTGTTGCTTCAAGCGCATCATTCTGCGCTCGGGATGCGCATAAGCGCTTTGTGCCGCACTGTATTGCAGCCTTTCATAATCATAATACAGTGACGCAATGAAAGATTATTAATAGCCTTTCTTGTTCTATCTATCATATGTTGCTGCCTCATTAAACAGCAGTGCTATACATTTAAAACATGTCTCAATTTTATAGTAGCCTATAGCTATAAAATAATTTATCTTTTTGATTTTTATCTTGTTTTTCATGAATGTATTTTACAACAATACAAAGAGCAATGTGTAACGTTTTACCAGATTTAGTGTTACATTTATTGTCTCTTATTTGTTTTTTTCACTAAATGTTCAGATTTTATACAATTATTGTCGACTCGTGATTTTTCTAGACTAAATTTTATTGCTGAATTATCCACTAATCTAGTTTATAATAGCATTTTTGTCATAGATTATGATCATATATTTTTTGAATTAGTTTTTCTTTATAATGAAGTTGTCTGTATTAAGTAGATTGTGTTTAACACACAAAAGAGTGCTTATCAGAGTTCAACACACAAAGAGTTACATAAATTCTACTTGATTTAAAAAAAACTGTGTTGGTATCGGATCGGCATCGGTATCGATCGATACTTTGAATTTTTGGTATCGGATCGGTTCTGAAAAAAGTGGTATCGGAGCATCCCTACCTGATGCCAGTCAATTGTTTCTCCAAATAATATTGATAGGGGTGTGCCCTTTTATGCTTTTCTCTATATTCTCTTGTTTTTAGGCTCTTGGTCTAATCGTTATCAACAGTACGTTTCTAATTTCATTTACTTGGATTAAACTTAATCTACATTTTACTTAACGCCCCTATAGAATGTATGTCATCCCAATATGCAATGGTCAGTTTATCATACTAAAGGATTAAAATGTAAGAATTCTCAAATTACTCTATCCCATTCCAGATGTGCATGACCTTTATTGCTCACATGAGTAGTTTAAGAAAATAAACTTTTAGATATTGAGACATGGAATGGAAGCCGATGGTAACCAACATTTTCAAGACTTGATTAATGATAATCCATGTCGATACAATTGAAAGAAAGCGCTCTGTTTTATAAATCCATGTTAAAGACGTTTCTTACAGTAGTCCATAACTGCTGGTCAAAACGAGTTGTGTATTTATTTCAGTCATGTTATGAAAGGTCACTGAACAATAGTCATGCATATCTGGGATGAAGGTGAGCTAATTTTTTTTTTGTCTTTTTTGGGGGGACTAATCCTTTTTAACTTTTTTTTTTTTGAAAGATTCAAAGGAGTCTTGTAGAATCCGATGACTCATGTTGCGATAGTGAAGATGAGTATATTCCAAATCCCAGGGAGGAAAGCAATGACAGTGACTGCAGCTTGGAGTTATCCCTGGAAAATAAAAGGAAGAATGTCAAAATGTCATCCATTAGTCAGTGCAGAAACAAGTCTTCAAGTCAGAGCCGATTTAAGTCCAGTCAGAACAAAAGTGAGTCTTCAAGTCAGAGTCGATTTAAGTCCAGTCAGAGCAGAAGATTTGAAACAAGTCATGACTCGGTACAAAGATTTCCTGATAGCCTAGAAGGAAAACACAAGGAGACGAGTGTTTCAATGACACCTGAAGAAGAGCCATCGATCTTTGTTAATCCAGTTTTAAAGAAGGAGGATGGTTCCAGAAGATATAATAAAAAACATCACTGCTTGTATTGTGGACAGGTAGTTCAGAAAATGTCAAGACACTTGTCGCGTAGACACAGCGATGTGGTTGAGGTCGCAAAGGCATTAAGCTTGCCAAAGAATTCAAAAGAAAGGCGACGACAGTTGGATTTTATCCGAAACAAGGGTAACTTTGAACACAACACTCAAGTTTTGGAGAGTCGCAAAGGCAAACTCATCCCATGGAAGCAGCCAAAGAAAATGACAGATGGACAAGAATTCATGCACTGTGTTTATTGCTATGGAATGTTCCGAAAAAGAGTGATGTGGCGTCATTTTCAGGTCTGTAATTTCAAGCCTCAGGGTAAGACATCTAAACGAGGTAAAACAAGAGTTCAAGCTTTGTGTGCATTTGCTGAACCTGCTCCAATTGGATTTAGCGACGCGTACTGGAAGTTCTTAAGTGGTATGAATCAGGATGAGGTTGCAGTTGCTATTAAGGAAGACCGCTGCATTCTTGAGTATGGTTACAGACAGTTCAGAAAGAATGAGTATGTAATAAGCCAGCACCAATATATTCGACAAAAACTGAGAGAGCTTGGCAGACTGTTACTGGAAGCAAAAAAGTTGACACATGTGAAGACAATCAAAGAACTCATAAAGCCTGAAAAGTACACCCATGTTGTCTCGGCTGCAAGATGCCTTGCTGGATTCAATGGTGAAACTGGCAAATATAAACGTCCGTCTCTTGCTCGCAAAGTTGGACATGGCTTGCATGCTTTAGCCATGTTTATCAAATCTGAAGGATTGAAGATGAAAGATACACAGACTACCAAAGATGCTGAGGAATTTGCACTGCTATACCAAGAAAGTTGGAAATTTGACATTGCAAGCCAAGCGCTAACTCAGCTTAACCAGACAAAGTGGAATTCTCCTCAGATTCTACCATTCACACAAGATGTCCACAGACTTCATTTCTATTTGTCTGAGAAACAGCAGAAGCAATTGAATGCCCTGCAAGAAGAGCCTTCTCCCTTGAACTGGAAGGACCTTGCTAAAGTGACCCTGGCGCAAGTTATCCTCTTCAACCGACGAAGAGCAGGAGAAGTATCCCGAATGTCCTTGTCGGCGTTCCTGTCAAAGGATACATCAGAGACACACGAAGATGTTAACCTAGCCCTTACAGCACTTGAGCAGAAGCTTTGCAAACATTTTGTTCGGATTGCCATAGTAGGAAAGAGAGGAAGGAAAGTCCCTGTTCTCCTGACCCCGGTCATGAGAGAATCGCTCGATACTCTGACTGAAAAGCGAGAAGAATGTGGAGTACTGAGTGAAAACGGATACTTGTTTGCATTGCCTCTCTCTGTCCATTATTTGAGGGGTTCCGATTGCATTAGGCAGTTTGTGAACGAATGTGATGACATCAAACACCCCAAAGCACTAACCTCAACAAAACTTAGGAAACACATTGCTACTCTGTCGACTGTTCTGAATCTCAAGACTACAGAACTTGACCAATTGGCAGATTTCCTTGGGCATAACATTGAGGTCCACAGAAAGCACTACCGCCTTCCAGAGGGCACCCTCCAGCTTGCTAAAATAAGCAAAGTTCTTCTAGCGCTGGAACAGGGACGGCTAGGAGAATACAAGGGGAAGAATCTGGATGAAATTCAGCTTGATGTGACTGGTATTAAGTCTTTTTTTATTATTAAAGGGATACTCCACCGTTTTTTCATATTAAACTGTTATTCCCTTAACTAAGACGAGTTGATACATACCTCTTTCATCTCAGTGCGTGCACTTAATCGCTCTGGCGCGCCATGACACTTTGATAGCACTTAGCTTAGCCCAGTATATTCAATGGTATCTAACAGCAATGAATTTAGAAGTGACCAAACACATCAATGTTTTCCCTATTTAAAAAGTTACACGAGTAGTTATACTACTTGTGTAACTGTCACTAGCACTTATCACTAGCACACCTACGTCGCGTCTGAACGTGACAAGTTTAATTCGTTTGAAGTACTTGTATTAAATGTTACGCTCTCAGATATAAGAAAAAAATCCCTATTATCTCTAGCCAGGGCCTTGCGCTGATTTCCTAAAAGAGTTTGCAGATTTTCTCTCAGATCTATTGGTCAACGTCGATAAAGCATTAATTGTTGGAGATTTTAACATACACGTAGATAATTCAAATGATGTGTTAGGGGCTGCGTTTACAGATTTATTAAACTCCTTTGGGGTCAAGCAAGTGTCTTGGTTAAGGGAATAACATAGTTTAATATGAAAAAACGGTGAAGTATCCCTTTAAGGAAAGTTAAAAAGCACAGCATTGTCCATCTATAAATCGTTCTCTTTTAGAATAGCAGATAGTATTTGATAAGTAAAAGAATAGAATTGATTATAACAGAGTTGAAGTATTTGACCTCAACATACTGAAGAAGAGGGCAGGTTTTATTGTTATAATGTGACTAACTTGATAATTTTTGTCTATTCAGCTATTTATGTAGCCATTTTGTATACTCTTGACAGATTGATTGCAGTTTCAGGTTTACAGCTCATTCATATTGTATTACTTGCTGTTTTAGAGACTGTTGACATGGATGGGTGTTCACAAGAGGAAGGTATGTTTGTATGATTTAAAAAAAATTGGTTATGAAAGATCTCTCATTTAAATTAGACAATTAAATGTAGATGTTATTGCACAATCATTACAGGATTGCACATATTTGGATGTTGCATTAATATAACCTTTCAGTTTAAATTAATAGTTGACATGTTTTTGACATGCTGCCTGTTGCATGTGGGTAATGTTTGACATTGTTTCCAGTTGATTGTGTGGCACAGTAAGCTACACCACAGGTATAGTTATCCAAAGGTAGTTGATCTCCACAAGAATTGTGTCCTTTAGCAAGATGATTCATCCCATTGCTCCAGGGCTATTGCCACTGTAATGTGTTCTGTAAGTTGCTTTGGGGAGAAAGTATCTGCCAAGGGCATACATTTAAATTGTGCTCCCAGTGTGAATGCAAGTCTAATTTAAACCGGCTCTCTCTACCACTGTATTGTAGAATTATGGAAACCATGTGTAATTTGTTGTTCAACTCGATTTGTTTATGTATAGCGCTTTTCACAATACATATCTGCAAGACTCGTGCCATATACTGAATATTTATAAACTTGTACTGTTGATCATTGCTTTTTATGTCACCATGACACAAATTTTATGCATAATTGATCCTTAGTTTATATTTTGATTTGTATTTTTCCTCAAACTTTTTTTTGCACTCAGATGACTTTATTCCAGACGTACAGGAGCCTGAAGTTGAGGACAGTGTGGCATCCACACAAGAACCTACATCCACACAAGAACCTACATCCACACAAGAACCTACATCCACACAAGAACCTACATCCACACAAGAACCTACTTCCACGCTGCATTCCCAATACCAGAGAAAGTCGGCAAAAAAGAGAGGTGAGCTTAGAAATGTTAAGTGGATTGATTTGTCCCGTTCGTCTTGAAGACAGAAAGCTTTATTCTGAATTATATTATTTTATCAAATCTTTACTTTTGATCACTGCACATTGATAGCTGTCACAATAGGTTTTGTTTACACAGTCTAATATTCTGATTATAGTTGATTTACAACCTCAAACCTGAATGAGTTTGTTTCTTCTGCTGAACACAATAGAAAACTTCCGGTGGCGCTGCACGGCTGCGACCCGGGCTCTGGCTACATGTGTCTATGTTTTAATGTTTTGTTTGATTGCTTTCTTTTATCTATTTTAGTTATTTATTATCTTATCAGTTAGAGCGCGCTAACGAGTTACTCAATGGCAACAATCGCACACATTCTAGTCTGGATATTTATTACGTGGGAGCTCTTATCACTATGGCTTTTAACAACCACTATGTGTGGAGAGACTCGAACTCTTATATCATATACAAGAGAAGCTCTGTTTTTGCTCTCACCTCGATTAGTGGATTTAAATACGTTGGTGGACATACCGGAGGAGCTGAAACGGAATCCAGATCAACGCTGGAGATCTCGCAAAAGGGGCAGACGAGGTGGAGTTTTACAGCGTCTTAGACGGAGGTCAAACAGGCCGCCTCTCCCTTCCATTATTCTCGGGAATGTACGATCACTCAGAACCAAGATGGAGGAACTCCGTATCAACGCCAGATCGTGCTTCGAATACCGGGACTCAAGTGTAATGGCGTTCACAGAAACTTGGCTTCATAAGGACATCCCCAGCTCGCTTGTGGAGATTGAAGGCTTCTCTTTAATTCGAGCGGATAGAGGGGAGTCCTCGGGAAAAGTCAGAGGTGGAGGAGTTTGTGTGTACGTGAGTAATGAATGGTGCACACAATATACTGTGAAGGAAACCGGCTGCACTACTGACGCCGAATACCTCTGTCTCAGTCTAAGACCTTTTTATCTCCCGAGGGAATTTGGCAATGTAATACTGTGTGTAGTGTATATTCCTCCTAGTGGTAACGCATCCAGAGCTGCCTTAAGTATATCTGACTGTATTCAAAAACAGCTACAGCGAACCCCTGGAGCTCCAGTCGTTGTCTTAGGCGATTTTAATCATTGCAAACTTGAGCCATATCTACCAGGATTTTTCCAATATGTTAAATCTGCGACCAGGAAGAATAATGTTCTGGATAAATGTTATGGCAACATCAAGGATGCCTATAAGGCAAAAACTAAACCTCCCTTATCCACGTCTGACCACAACATAGTTCATTTAATACCGACATATAGAACTGTTTTAAAAAGAAACAAACCTTTGGTCAAGACAGTAACTATGTGGGATGAAGGAGATGTAGAGACACTAAAAGGGTGTTTTTTAAGTACGGACTGGTCAGTATTTCATGATATCGATTTGAATACAGCTACTGAGACGACTACGGACTATATTCGCTTCTGTGTGGATACAATAATCCCAAAAAAGGAGATAATGGTGTTTCCTAATAATAAGCCTCACATAACTAAAGAAGTGAAAGCTTGTATCAATAGGAAAAAAGCAGCTTTTCGGAATAAGGACCGGATGGAGATAAAAGTCGTCCAAAAGGAACTGAATAAATTATTATGGGAAGCTAGGAAGCGTAAAAAGGACTACATTGAACAAAACTTCTCATCTATGAACAATAAAAAACTGTGGAACTCACTAAGAACTATTTCGAACATGGATTCCAAAAAACAACGTTTCATTACTACTGATGATTTTAAGAAAGCAAATGAGTTGAATTACTTTTTTGCAAGGTTTGATAATAATGATCCTGTTAAGGAATGTGAAGAGTTTTTGCTAAATGTTGATTGTGCAATGGGTTTAAGAATAATTGTGGATCCTCAAGAAGTTACTGCTCTGTTTCGTAAAACTTGCACTAAGAAATCAACTGGGCCAGACGGTATCTCAGCTTATCTCTTGCGGGAATGTGCAGAAGAACTAACCCCAGCTTGGTGTCCAATTTTCCAGCAATCGCTAGACAATCATACGGTTCCGTCGTTATGGAAAAAGACTATCATTACGCCAGTTCCTAAAAAAACAGGTGCTGTTGATAATAATGATTTTAGACCAATTGCTATAACTTCTGTAATTATGAAATGTTTGGAGAAGTTTGTGATATCAAAACTGAGATGTAGTGTAAATTCATTATTAGATCCATTTCAATTTGCCTATACAGTGGGAAGAGGGACTATCGATGCTGTTAATACTATCACTCATTTGACTCTTCAACATCTAGAAACCTCCAATGCCTATGCACGATTGCTCTTTGTAGATTTTAGCTCCGCTTTTAATACGCTTCAGCCGCAGTTACTTCTGAGTAAGCTTGGAAAGAGTGATGTTAACCCTTTTATTATTAAGTGGCTCTTCTCTTTCTTAACCAAACGTACTCAAATTGTAAAAGTAAATAATACACTCTCTGATCTCATACCTATTAGTATTGGTGCGCCTCAAGGTTGCGTATGTTCTCCTTTTCTGTTTACTTTATATACAAATGACTGTCTTAGTATAAATAAAAATAATTATATAATCAAATATTCTGATGACACAGTAATATTGAGTCTTTTGGCGAAAGATCATGATATATCAGTGTATCAGTCTGAAATTGAGAATTTTGTGCGGTGGTGTAATGTAAATCATCTCATCATAAATGCATCAAAAACTAAAGAAATTATAATAGATCCAAAAAAACTAGGTGATTACAGCCCAGTCATCATCTATGATAATTTTATTGAGCAGGTGGATACCTATAAGTATCTAGGTGTGGTTATTGATTGTTCATTTACTTGGAAAGCCCACATTGATTACATTGCCTCAAAATTCCAACAACGCTTGTATTTTTTAAGAAAACTTCGGCTGTTTGGTGTAAATCAGAGAATTATGCAATTATTTTATTATGCCGTTTTAGGTAGCCTTTTAAATTATGGCATGCAAACTTGGTATGGCAATCTTTCGGTTCAATTAAAATCACAGCTTGCACGTCTTGTGAGAATTGCAATGAAAGTTATGGGTATAAGAGAGTACTCATCACTACAATCAATTTATGAATCGTTGGTTTTAAAGAATGCACAGACAATAGTAGGTGATACCAGCCATGTTTTATTTCCAATGTATGAGTTGCTGCCATCAGGGAGACGGTATAGAGTCCCATTGTGTAAGAGTAACCGTTATAAAAAATCCTTTATTCCTTTATCAATTAATATGTTAAATAGCAAGATGTAGTAATGTAGGTCTATAGTTTGTGTGTGTATTTGTTGTATGTATGTTATGTATTAATGCAGCCTTGAGTCCAAGACAAATTTCCTGGAAAAGGACAATAAAGTATACAAACAAACAAACAAACACAGAAGACATTTTAAAGAATCTGGGTAACCAGACAGTTGATGTCACCAATGACTTCTATAGTATTTTTTTTCCTACTATGAACGTCATTGGTGCCGTCAACTCTCTGGTTACCCACATTCTTTAAAATGTTCAGCAGAAGAAAGAAACTCATACAGGGTTGGAACAACATTATGGTGAGTAAATGATGACAGAATTTTGGGGTTAAACATTTTCATTATATGATCAAAAGAAAAATTGAACTCTATAACGATTTGCTTGGATTTAATCAAAAGTGTGGGATGCACAAAGGGAAGATTTTGCGTTTACACAAGTTTTAATATATTCATCTGCATATCATTTCCATATGCATATTCCCATTGATGTGAGACTGCTGTGTTTAACAGGACAATACATAAAATATGAGATAGAGACTGTAAAAATCGAGTATCTTTGCCTTGTTTTTAAAATAAAAATGTCCGTACAACAAAGTATATTTGCCAAAATTGTATAAAATACTTTTAAGTAGACGGTCTACTAATGCTGTAATGAGAGTTAGTTGACATGTAGGTGCAATGTTACTCCGTTAACAGAATGTCTAAAGGGGACCATCAAAATAAAGTGCTACCACACCTTTTACTGGATTGCACTGATTTATTATTATTAGTCAAATGTTTTATTCAGAAACAAACTAAGAGTACTTTTAGCCTCTGAACCAAGTCAATATGGCAATGAATGACCTGTGTGATCAATACAATAGTCTTTCAGTTCAGATTAAGGTTTAAAAATCCTGAACTTAAGACATTAACCTAAACTTAATAACATGTTCTTTTTATGTTTACTTAGGTAAAGAAACTGCTGTCAAAAGAAGCTGGACAACAGATGAATGTGCGGCAGTAGAAAGACACCTAAGGAAATTCATTGTGAGGAGCCAAGTTCCAGGGAAAAAGGACTGTCAGCGCTGCGTTGATGCAGAAGCTCAAGCGTTAGGAAATCGAGACTGGAAGGCGGTCAAATACTTCATCAAAAATCGTATTTCTGCCATAAGAAGGAAAGTACAGTGAAATACAGGTAGCTCAACGTATTGGATGCCTTCCCACTAGCATTTATATCGGGATATACATTTTAAGTGTTTTCAACAGTTTACATTTAGTTGTTTTCATTGTATTATCCTCTTAAAGGGTTAGTTGTCATTTACTCTTTTTTTGTCATTTCAAACACATAAGAAATTAGTTCATCTTTGGAACATAAAATATGTTTTGAATGAAACCTGAGAGATTTCTGTTCCCTCCATTGTTTGCATTGCCTCTCTCTGTCCATTATTTGAGGGGTTCCGATTGCATTAGGCAGTTTGTGAATGAATGTGATGACATCAAACACCCCAAAGCACTAACCTCAACAAAACTTAGGAAACACATTGCTACTCTGTTCATCCTAAACTTTCAAGCTTCAGAGCATTTATAACGTAGAAGTAATCCATGTGGTTTAATCCCTGTTTTATAATGTGAATGCGCTCTCACTTAATCCACCCACTTAACATTATCCAACAATTGCAATAACTGTGAACTGGACTTTGCATTGATGCAGCACACACAATTATACACATTTTCTGGTTAATAGTGATTCTTTGCCTCGTATGCCCTTTTCCTTGTTTGTTATATATTGCTCTGCCCTGTTTTTGTGCTATTGTTGATCTCACTTAATCAATCTATTATTCATATTCTCCACCAATGCAATAACTGTGAACTGGACTTTGCATCGCTGCAGCGCACACAATTATTCTCATTTTTCCTGGTTACTAATAATTCTTCGCCTCGTATGCGATTTTCTTGTTTGTTATTTGTCACATTGATAACTTTTTCTTTATGAATGTTTTGAAGTTTGAAAGTTTAGGGTGAACGGTTTTTAAATGGAAAGATGGAAATCTCTCAGGTTTCATTCAAATATCTTCAGTTGTGTTCTGAAGATGAACAAGTTTCTTATGGGTTTAGAATGCCTTGATGGTGGGTGAATGAAGGCAGAATGCTCATTTTTGGGGGAACTAACCCTTTAAAGTTCTTTGTTGTCTTATACTATAACATATAAAAGGGTTAGATCCAGTCAATTGTCTTAAGTGTTTTATAGCAACAACAAAAAAAGACTGTTGGATTGTGTTTCCTTGAGTTGCTTATAGCATGTTTATTGCTGTAACATTTATTTTGGTCAATGTTATTAAAATGTTGTATAACCTCTTTTTGAAAAAAAAAAAACATTGTGTAATACCAAATATATGTTCATTGAGGACGAATCATGTTTTAAAGTTGTTGTTTTTTAATCCAGTGTTTTGTGTAAAATATTACTCACTGTATTAGTGCTATAATTCCACTGGGTCTTAATCTTTATTCATCAGATGAATAGGGAGTTTTCATGTGAAGTCCTCAATTTAAATGAGTATATTATCTTTAAGCTGCAGTGAACATGACTGGCTAGGAACACAACTTCATTAGAAATAGTGGACAAGTAACCATGGGACAAACAAGATCCCCTTCAGCAAAACCGCACAGTTCATTCAATAACCAATACAATGCAGAGAAAGTACAGTTGGTGTCCTGCAGACTGAAGAAGTTCAGGCTGTGACCAAAATTTGAGGGCTCATTGATTTAGAAAAGTCTCTGGATTGGCTTTTGGCTTATGCCATGTTAATGGCTAAGCTAATATAGACGTGTGCAGATTAATTTAGAGGATATACATTATAATCTATAAAGGTTTATATGGTAATCAAGGGCAAATAATGGAAGTAGTTGATGTTTTACAGATAGTGACTTTGGTCCTTGCTAAGATATAAAGATGAGAAATGTGTGTGTATCTATGAAAGCGGACCCCACAACTCCTAAATGTTTAATCCAGGCCCCACAAGTGACACAAAAACGCATGTGCAAACAATTTTGTTTGAATTTTGTTATATTGAAGTGATATTTCTTATTAGGAAATTTTTGTTATCTTGCTTGATTTTTTATAAGTCTGTAGAACCACTGGAAATGGTGGACCCCACAATTAGGCAAAAAACGGTGGACCCCCTTATGGTAGGAAAACAAGTATGTGTGTGTGTGTGTGTGTGTGTGTGTGTGTATGATTGTGTCTGTTACTTTTTGGATATATATCTTTTTATATAAAAAAAAATAGGCATACAACCCATATATTTTAAATGTATTGTTTGCTTTAAATTACATTAAGATTTGTATGTTTGGTAATTGAACCTGAATGAATTTTAAATGAATGTGCTATATTTCAGAGTTTTCCTTAAAATTTGACCTAACACTACCTTTATTCTCATCTGAATGATAGATTATTTATTTCTGTATAAAATAAAAAAGAGATTTTGGTTGGGTGACAGTTGTAGTTTACAGTTTGACAAAAGCACAATGTTGTGTTTTATTGCGATTGTTCACAAATATAAGTAAACACTTATGAGATAGATGTTTATGGATTGATTGGTCATTGAATCTTTGAGTCAACCGATTCGTTCAAAATGCTGAATCATTCAGTAATGAGAACGCGTTGCTGTGAGATGCGCGATGGTTCTGCTGTGATCTTTGTTTAACTATTTTCGCTGCTGAAACAGAAAAAAAGTCAATATTGCATCTAAAATGTAAGTGATTTGACTTGTGTGTGTGTGTGTGTGATTGTGTGTGTGATTGTGTCTGTTACAGTGATAAGAGTTTAACCCTTGTTAAACTTTAGACCTTGTCTTTTTGGATATATATCTTTTTATATTAAAAAATAGTCATACAACCCATATATTTTAAATGTATTGTTTGCTTTAAATTACATTAAGATTGTATGTTTGGTAATCGAACCTAAATGAATTTTACATGAATGTGCTATATTTCAGATCATATATTTGTTTTCCTTAAAATTTGAACTAACACTAACTTTATTCTCATCTGAATGATAGATTATTTATTTCTGTATAAAATAAAAACACCTTTGATTTTTCTTTTTTAATCAATGTAGAATGTGTAACTGAAAAAATAAACAGATTAGGGCTCTGTTTGATGACAAGAAATGAAAACCAATGCGATATGATGAATGTCCAAAAGATGGCTCCCACAGACTGTTTTTAAATAGGATTGTTTGATATTTTTTGCTTTTAAACTGTGTGTGTGTGTGTGTGTGTAAGAGATTTTGGTTGGGTGACAGTTGTAGTTTACAGTTTGACAAGAGTTTATAGTTTGACAAAAGCACAATGTTGTGTTTTATTGCGAGTGTACACAAATATAAGTAAACACTTTGCAGTTTGAATAATGTCCTGTATGAACAAAAGGACGGAGTATGTCTTTATGTCTACATTGTTCAATTACGCCACACACACACACACACACACACAAACACTATTTTTCTAATCAGATCAGGCAAGTAATATTCTGTCTTGTCTCTTAAAAAAACAATATATATATATTTATGTATATATATATATATATATATATATATATATATATATATATGTGTGTGTGTGTGTGTATATATATATATAAATATAGCTGCGAGCAGCGTGAAAGGGCCAAAGCCGGCGGCACCGCCACCCCGGTTATAGCGCCACCAACTGGCAGCAGGAAGTCTGTCACTTTCAAAAAGCTTTGAAATCACCTGATTGCTTCAAACTTCACTACTATGATGTAAACACACGGCAGATGTAGACCTGGATGTAGACCTGACCTTTCAGAAGGTTGCTCTCGCATACTTTGTGGTTGACATGTGCCCTCAATGCACACTTTTGCAGAGCCCACACTGATACAAGCTCTACAGCACACTTCTTTTCGACAGTCAAAGCAGGGTTACGTTTTTGCACGTCGTGCACAATAACCCTAAAGGCACCAGGGTGGCGGTGCCACCGGCTTTATATATATATATATATATATATATATATATATAAATATAGCTGCGAGCAGCGATGAAGGGCCAAAGCCGGTGGTACCGCCACCCCGGTGCCTTTAGGTAACTAAAGGCACCGGGGTTGCGGTGCCACCGGCTTGGGCCCGTAATCGCTGCTCGCAGCTATATTTCTTATTATTTTTCTGCTACCTTCTGGACACTTTTGGAGGCCTTAACATGCTCAAAAACTCCTGAAACTTTGCACACATGTCAGAACCCGCGGCCATCAGGGCCGGGCTGAAGATGGTACCCGGGCGTGGCAGGGGGGCTCGACAGCGCCCCCTGGAACGGGGTCCGAAAACATGGTCCATAAATCAAACACGCTTGCATGTAATAATATGAAACTCGGTACACATGTAGATCTCCTCGTTTCATATATACTTCACACTCTTACTTTTTACCCCAGCCCAACAGGAAGTCGGCTATTTAGGGTTGTTGGTAAAACACACGCAATGGAATGTGAAATACTCCTCCTAGAGAATTTAAACAAACGGCACGAAACTCGGTCAGCATGAAGTCAAGACATTGAGGATGAAAGTTTGCGAGGGGATTTTTGATATCTCGAACGGTTTGGCCGTGGCGAGGAAACAAAATTATGGCGAGAAACGTGAAACAGGAAGTGTGTCATAACTACTGCATACATTAACTGATCTTGATGAAACTTCAACAGTGTGTTCGTTGTAAGAGCCCGATCACATGGATGTGACTATTGTGAGTCAAAGTTATAGCGCCACCAACTGGCAGCAGGAAGTGTGTCACTTCCTAAATGCTTTGAAATCACCCTCTTATTTTTACCCGATTTGCTTCAAACTTTATGTGTATAATGTAAACACACGGCAGATGTAGACCTGTGAAAGGATTATTGATATCTTAGATACTGTTGCCGTGGCAACACATCAAACTTTAATATTCTTGTTTGATGCTTTTGAGACTCTTAGCATGCTTGAAATTGCATGAAACTCGACAGACACAGGTATGCATATGGTTCAGATCAAGCCGGACAACTTTCTAATTAACTGTCATTAGCTCAGACCAAGAGGAAGTTAGATATTTTGGTTTGAATGTGGATGTTTCTGAGAATTTTCTCTCCCTCTCCCTCTGACAGAGAGAATGCACCCTGCCATTCGTGTGTGTCTGTGTCTGTGTCTGTGTCTGTGTGGGGAGGGGGGGAGGGGCTCTTTTAGTTTAAACA